CTCTTTCTTTGGTGCTGCTGATCGAACTCAGGACCTTGCCCTTGCAAGGCAGGTGGCAGAACCACTGAGCTAAATCCTCAGCCCATACTGGCTTTTCTTTTAAGCATCTCCTGTCCCCTGTCTGACAAAATGAGAAAAAAGTCTGGATGAGATCTGTCATATATATCCATGTTCTCAGTGAGTTTAATTTTAACTCTGATTGCTGGAAGAAAAAAAAAGGATGAAGGGTTAAAGAAGAGAAGCCTGAGGAATAGTTTTTGCAACAGGGTTGGGTTCAACTCTTGGCTCTGCCACTTCTTCCGTATGTGACCTTGGGGATGACCTTCCCTTCTCCTAGCCTTAGTCCCTCTTCTGTAAGATGTGGAAGGGATTGAATAAAATAATGTTTATAAAGTATGCAGAGTTGGGCACACAGTAGGTACTTAATGAGCAATGGATTCCTCTGTAGCTCCTTTTCCTGAATTTATTCTTTGCCTACCAGCATCCCTGCACAGAGCACTCAAATTTATGCAGAGCTTCCCCTCCTTTCTTCTACTTGCAGCTCATAGAAATTACCCATTTATCCCAGGGTGCAAGGCTGGTGGTGTGCCCTCATTTTATAGATGAGAAAACTGAGGCTCGGAGAGGTGAAGTTTCTTTCCCAAGGTACACAGCTAGGACGTGGCAGAGATGAGTTCCAGGCCAAGTCTGTTGGATTGCAAAACCCATGTTCTTTCCACGTGGCACAGTGCGCTCTATTCAGTGATCTCCAACAATCTTTCTTTAGCAAACTATCTTTCCCACCATGTGGCAATTTCCCTGTAGGGAAATCAGTTGATGAAACCAGTTCTCCCACAGCCAGACCTCAGAGGTCATGGGATCTCCACAGCGGTGCAGATCTGAGTAAGCGGAGGGATAGGTGGTTGCGGTTGCTGCCTTAAAGGAGCCTGACCTTAGCAAGGAGATGGGATATACGCAAATAAACGGGGAGCAGACAAGATAGCACGTCTGGTGCCGGTAAGGAAACAGGCACCCTGAGCCACAATACCCAAGGGGATCTGGTTTAGTACTGTGTGGTCAGGTCAAGGAAGAGCTTCTGAAGAAGGCATCCTTCAAGCTAGACCAGAGTAGTTCAACAGAAATTGCTTCCCCAATGAAATGTTCTAGAATAGAATGATCAAGAACTGCACTACCTAATGTGGTAGCCACCCTTGAAACATGCCCGATGTGACTAAATTTAAAATTTTAATGTTAGCTAATGTAGATCCTAAATAGCCTATGTGGATAGTGGCTATTTTATTGGACAGCACACATTTAACCTAATGGACAAGAAGAACACCAACTGTGTGATTGTTTCACTCTGCTGACTGTTTCATTTGCCAAACCAACAAGCTTGACAATGTGGGCACATTGTTGTTATTTCCTGGTTCTTGGATTCCAAGAAAGTTGTGAGGATTAAATAAATATTTATAAGCTAGAGAATAAAGCACTCCGTAAATGTCAGTTAAAAACTGATGCAAGTCTGTATCTCCAAAATTTCTACCCACTGTCTTCCTCCACTATTTTGAGGGGACTTTACTGCTTTGAGTATAAGCCACAGATTTTTGAATTGATGAATTTACGAAGGCAAGGGATACCTATCCTCATAAGAGAAATTGAAGCCAAAATACGAAGTAAATTTCCTGCCCCTGTATCTTCATTATATACAAACCTAGCATGATGAATAAATCTTTCATTCTTCCCTTGTCCCAGCAAAGGAGTTAGAGGGAGGAGCAGAACAAGCTTGGTTTTTGTGACTGGCAGTGCTGAATATGGAGATGAATGGACGTTGTGGGGTGATGGGAGCATCAGAGGTTTAACAGGACACGGGGAGGACTGATGGGCTACGTGACCTGGGGCAGGTCCCTTTCTGAGCCTGCAGTTCCTCATCTGTAGACCAAGGAGGCTGGGCCAGGCTTCTGAAGTGTGACCAGGGGTCGCAAAGCTTAGTGGCTCACTGTTTTTCGTCCCCAATCTGTGTGCTTTTTCAGAATTTTAGTATCAGGATTCCCTTTAAACAGAATGTCTTTATGGAAGGCACTACTGGGCTTTTCCTCTTTTACAGGATGGTAATACCATTTCCTGGAGTCTGCAGGTTAGCTTGTCTGGTAGAGAATGGTGTCAAAGCACAAAATCCTAACTCATTTTGTATAAAGATCTCTTTGGTTTCTGTTGATGATTCTAGAACCAGGCAACATCTCATTGTAGAAGAATCAGGGAACAAAAAGCAGATTGGTTGCACTTGAGTGACTTTCTTCCAGGGTTAAAACAGAGAACTTCCTTAGCATGCTGGCCCCTTCTGATTGGCTGGTGTGAGTTTCTTGTTTTCTGGAAGACTGGTCCATTTCAGAGTTCAGGGTGATTGTGGGGCACTTGGCGTGAGTGACTCCATTCTAGTTTAGTCTGCTGGGGCTAGTACAAGAGCTCAGTGTAGATCAATGACCTCCCATAGGTTTTGTTCAAGAGCACTGTGGCACACAAGCCAGCCAGGTGCCTGCAACACACTGGAATAACAAGGAAGTGAATCTTGACCCAAGAAGGCAAATATGGATTTCTGTTGGAATCTAGAAGTTTCCTTTTTGTTTTTGGTACCAGGTGTCAAACTCAGGACCTTATGCTTGCAAGGCAGGTGGTGGCACCATTGAGCTAAATTCCAAGCCTGGAAGTTTCCTTTTTTTTTTTTTTTTTTTTTTTTTTTTTTTTTTTTTTTTTTTATGTATTTTTATTTTTCTGTGT